TCCTGGGTGTAATTTAGCACTTAATCCCCGCGTCTGCCCTGACGTGCCCTGTCCCCGTAGTGCACGGAATCCACTCCTGGTGGCGGGTCGGCTCTGCCCTGCGGAATGCCCGTCGGATGGATGGGGGGCCGACCGCGACCCGTGGGCACCTCTCTATGTGTGATCCGCGCGTCTAGATGCCACTCTCGTCCGGAGCGTCCGCAGTGACAGTTTCATCTCAGGACGAAAACCTCTGTCTGCCTCTGTCCCCCGTGCGAAACCTCATTGGCGTACGAAGTCCCTCAATTTCCAAAGTAACCTCGGGAGACACACAGGAATTTTCATCCTGCCTAAGAAAAGCCAGGACCACAACAGGAAAAACAGTGTAAGACACAGAGGTCAAGAGTGTGGATTTGAGGAGTGAAAAAAGCTCGGGGGTGTCTGGCGTTGTCTGCACCAGAAACAGTCTATTCGTGCCGCCCCGGCTCTGCTTATTATTGTATCAGACTCTAAAGGCTGGGCGCGTCCTCACAGGTTACAGTGATGTGCGCGGCGGGGACTGTGGCCGGCCGGCGACTTTTGAATTATTGATGCCACTGTGCTCTTAGTGGCCACGAAAAGCCTTCCTATTTACGATCCATAAGGACACGGCCTTTGCTTTGTTATGTTTCTGCACTCCACAACATTTTAATTAAAACGTAATGTTGACGTTACCTCCAGGCCTTCTTTCAGGCCACGCTGGCAAAGGAAATGAAAGCTCTGAGCGGGTAAGGCCTCTGAGTCAGGCAGCTGCCGTCTGCGCTTTGGTGGCCGCGGGGGCTGGTCGACAGGCCGGGGTGATATTTTAGGATGCGGACGACCTCTCTAACAACTGCCCTTGAGTGTTCAAATATAGACGTTGGAATTCCGTTCCGGTTTCCTTCGGATTGCCAGGTACTGCGCGGAGAAGTCTGTCCGTGGCTGCGCCATGGGCTGGGGGCCACGTGCGGGCTTTGTGGGGACCCTTCCATCCCCAGAAGAGAGACAGGAGGGTGGCAGAGCTGCGTTGTCCTAAGGAGCCAGTCTCCTTTGTGCTGCTTCAAAAAAGAAACACGCAGGCGTGGTGGGGAGGTTGCGGACAGGGCGGCAGGTCTTCGCGAGGCGGGAGCAGAGTGACAGGCGGATGGAGTCGGCATCTCCCCTCCGGGATCGGTCGTGAGCAGCCTGCGCCACCGGGTCCGTGTACCATTTTAACAAAACCTGAATTTTCCTGTTTATTACTGTTGTTTACTGCTTGTTTTTATCTTCAGAGTCAAATCTCACTTTGAATTCTGGAGAGCTGGAATTTTTCCTTCGTCCTGGTTCATGAGGAACAAATCGGTTCACATCGGACCGCACAGGAGCGTTCACTCTTTTTTTTCCTCTTTTGCATTGTGATAAAATATATAGATGTGAACTTGGCCATTGGAGCCCTTTTCCAAGGGGCCGGACCTGCGGCCACCCCTGCCGCCCATCCGCAGAGGGCTTAGCGTCATCCCAGGATAGACTCCGTCCCCATGAAACGGAATGTTCCCTTTTGAAGCGTCAACATTCTCAGGTCAGTGCAGTGGACATACTGATCCCAAATTGCTACCTTTGAGGTCAAGGGTGAAAGGGGTGACAAGGAACACGCCCGCCTTGTTAGGTGAGAGCCCCCCTTCACACCTGAGAGCAGGGCTGGCAACGTGTCACTCCCCCCCCCCCCGCCCCGTGCCCCCAACTCTCCGGAGCCGCCCTGAGCCGCCCTGAGCCCTGGCCCAGGGCGCTTCTGTGAGCGTGGCGAGGATTCGCAGGACGCGTAATTCTTGCCCCCGGTCCGTCCGCATCCGGCAGCTGTCATGTCCTCCGAGCTGCCGTCTTGGTAATTACTAGTCTGAGTTAAGTCAGCAGCCCTCGCCGCGCTCTGGCTTTCGTCCCTGTCAAACAAAGTCATCCATCTGTGTGATCTCTAAGGGCCTCTCCGCCCCTGTCCTGTGGGTTGAGATCTTTCCATAATTGATGCCGTGAACGTCGTACGCTTTCCAGAAGGACGAAGCGGGAAGCAGGAGGTTCTGGAAGCAGAATGGAGACTGGGGAACACGAGGAGAAAGGATACAGTCAGGGGCCCCGGAGGAGGGGTGGGGGCTTCACAGACCCCCTCCCGAGTGCACGCGCTCCACGCGTGCGGGACAGGCAGCGTGGGGCAGCGCCGAGCCCAGCCGGCGCGGGAGCCGGCCTGCCGGCTTCGCGTGTGGCGGTCGCCTCGGGTGCGGGCGAACCGGAGGTTGCCGAAGGGCGCTCGGTTGTGGTCAGGACGATTTCGGGCACTTCTGCCCCAGCCAGTTCAAGCAAATTATTCTATTCTAGTTGTCAGAAATCTGAAGAGAGCTAGTTGTAGATTCTTTAGGATTATAACTTTTCCTCTGAAAGATGACTTTTAAACGTTGATTTTGAGAGAGGCAGACAGAGGGAGACACGAGTTTGTTGTTCTGCTTCTCGACGCACTCACTCGTTGGTTGCTTCTTGTATTGTGCCCTGTCCGGGGATCGAACCCACAGCCTTGTCAGGTGGGGATGATGCTGTAACCAACTGAAGCTACCTGGCCAGGGCCTGAAAGAGGACGCTTTAAAAATTAAAATGAAGTCATGCTAGATCTTGTTGATAGTTTTCTTTGACACAGAGCGAAAGTCTTGCAGGAGGAGGGAAAAGTCCTGAGCAGCGTACAGAGCTGAGCCGTTCGGAAGGCGGGTGTAGACCGACGCATGGCGCTCTTCCCCGCAACGGCACTTGGAAGGCCGTGGCGGGCATCCGGGGCGGAACGAAACGCTGAACCCCGGGGAGGCCGCTGCTTTACGGAACTTAGATAGCATGAGTCCTGGGACGTTTGGAAACACACGGGCAGGTTTAAGAAAGGGGACAGCGACCGGCCGTGCTTGTCACCCCACAAGCCACCTCGCCTGTGACTTTCTCTGGAATGTCCGTGTTCTGTGTCCGTCCGTGTCTATCGTCGCAGTAGCCTGTGTAAGAAAAGGACACGCTGTCTTTCTGTTTGCCGGTGTTGCTCCGTCTCCCTGGGGCCTGAGCCACGCGGACCCTCCTGCCCGTCGTCAGTCCTGTACAGCTCCCGCCTGCACCCGCGTCCCCGTCCCCGCGTCCTCCTCCTCCTCCGGCCAGCAGCTTCCTCTGGAGGTCGGAGGAGGGGCCGGTCTTGCCAAAGTGCCCAGCGAACAACGTCAGGACGACTTTTCCTATAACTGGCCCCGGAGTTGGACTTCTCTAAGGCTTCCCAGGGTATTGCACAGTCGCCTGAAACTCAGGATCTGCCCGGGCTAAACGGAACTTTCTAACAAAACAAAGTTCCAACCGCCCTTTATCTCCTTCCCACCTTCCCTATTCCTACCGCGTTTCCCCACGTACACGTCTGACCTGAGCCGCTCCAGCGCCTCTCATCGACCGTCGTCTTCCTGCGCGTGCCACGGCGTGTCCCCAGCCTGCATCCTCTCGAGTCCCTCCCATGGTGCTCTGCTTCCCCGGGCAGAAGCCCCGCCCCAGCCGGGTGGCTCCAGTCCCGTTCTTGGGGGCTCTCCCCCCCGGCGGAGCAGTTGCCTTTCTTCTGTGTTTCCAGGCCTCCCTCCTCTGCCGCGGCCTGAAGCCCTGGAGGTCCTGATGTCCCTGGCCCCGGCCTGGTACTGCCCTTCTCTACACTTAGATAAACTTGCCGACCATAATACTCATTCTGCCTAAACTTATATTTGGTTTCCGTGCCATTTCCTGGCGTGAATCTCATTTTCTTTTATTTCCCCAAAGACTCACCATTTTCCTCCATTCGAGTCAATGTTACTTGAAGTGGAGGTCACTTTTAACATTGCATCGGGCTTTCAAAGTCCCCAGGGGTGATAGTGATCTGGTGTATTGATGCCCCTTTTGGTCAAATGCCCTCAGTCAGAAACCGAAACAAACAGCTGACATCACTACGTTTAATTTTTAAATTTTCTCAAACAGCGTGAATTCGGCAGACACTTTAAAGTGTGTTTCCTTCGCTTTGACCCCTGGAGTTCACGACCAACAGAAATTTGTCAAACCTCAGTGTAACATTTTTTTAAAAAGTCTAAACCTCCAAGGGGGTCCTTTTGCAAAGGAAAAAGGAGCACATGTCAGGGAGGCTTCTTTGTCGTCCTGGTAATTAGAACATAAGGCACATTGTGAGGCTCTGGCCCCAGGGCGGGCCGTCGGTTTGCCGGTTTGCCGCTGTCCGGGCTCCGGGAGGCGCTTGTGGTGTTTACCCACCTGCTTCCCCTCCCGGTCGGTCCTTGAGCTCCCAGGCTTCACGCTCACGGTGGTGGTGGTGGTTTCTCAGCGCCCTCAGACCTCATCCTTGGGTGAGCATTCCCGCGACCTTGTGTATTTATCTCGTCCCACGTCTAACAGCATTTCCACCCAGCATTGCCGCGCTGGAATATCCAACTACTGACTGCAAAGTCGGTGGCCCGGTGCCAGGCGCGCCGCGTCCGAAGGTGGCGGCCCAGCTCCCGACAGGACAGCGTCAAGGCCGCCCACTCAGACGGGGCAGGGCGTCGGGCAGAGGGCCCGCGCGTCCCTGGGCGCAGGCAGAACGAAAGCCTTGCCCTGAAGTGAAAATAAACAGGTTTTTACCTCCTGGGTGACGGGATCACTCCCACAGGACACGATATCAACGGAGCTACAAGCGAGGGAAAAAGAGAGGGTGCGAGGGCTCCCTCAAGACGGAAACAATTTATAATGCACGTATTTAGTTCATTGTCCAGGGACAAAAAAATGTCACATGCGCTATTTTTGCAAAATGTTGTAGAAGACAGCATCTCAGTCACTTGCACCGCGACACAGCCTGACATCTGTGTTGTGAAGTTCACATTCATCCGAAGGCGACGTGTCCAAGTGTGACGATGGGAACTTTGTGCGCGTCCGATACTGTGGTCCCCGTCGCGCGCGCGCGCGCTCTCTCTTTTGTTCGTCCGCTAATGGCAGGCGACCTCTGACCCCTCCAGGTACGGCGTGAGTCCTGAGAACATCATCCTGTACGGGCAGAGCATCGGGACTGTCCCCACGGTCGACCTGGCCTCCAGGTACGAGTGCGCCGCGGTCATCCTCCACTCGCCGCTGATGTCCGGCCTGCGCGTGGCTTTCCCAGACACCAGGAAGACGTACTGCTTCGACGCGTTCCCCAGGTGAGCTCCCGCCTGCGTCGCAGGCGCTGAGGCGTCCCGTGAGCCGAGCTCAGGTCGGAGGCTAATAAACATCGACCGAATGCTCCGTCGCGGCTGTGCTGGCGCCTGAGGGGATGGGGAGGTGCGTGTCACACACACACACGCACACACGTGCACGCGGGCGACTTTGTCCCCTGAGCCTGACTCATCTGCCCAGATGCACCAGGGGACGCGTGAGGACCTTGTGCGCAGGATGCAAAGCTCCCCCTTGTCGGGAAGGAACGGACTGTTCAGTGTTTGTTCGTTCAGGTGAACGTGTGGTGTTGAGTCATAAAGAGCTCCGGGCAGTGTGTGAGGCCAGTGGGGCACACGCTCAGACACAGACGGCAGGCACCCACGTTTTTGTTCCTTTTTCGTCCTCACCCAAGGACATGCTCATTGCTTTTAAAGAGAGAGGAAGAGAAACATCCATCGGTTGCTTCTTGTACGCAGCCCGTCCGGGGACCCAGCCCGTAGCCTTCTGGTTTATGGGGTGTAGCCCCCGCCCGCGGAGTCACCCGGCCAGGGCAGCCCCCACAACTTTGACACATCTCCTCACTTCTCGGCGAGACAGCACAGCCACGGGAGGAGGCGCAGGGAGCCGCTCCCACGCCTGAAACACTGCTGCGGGCGGTGCGGGTGGGGAGCTTCCCGGGGCCACCCTCGCTCCCTCCCCTCTCCCACTTCTGCGAGGAGCACGTGAACGGAAGCCTAGATTTTCTTGTTCCCACTCACGGAAGGAAAGCAATTGCCAAGCAGCCTGCACGGTGGTTTCTTGAGCACCTCTGTCGGAAAACCTCCTTTTTTTTCCAAATCTAAGTTGAGGACAGTATTTTTAATAAAAACTCTGGGCCCCCTCACCTTTCCCCAGCCCCGGCTCACCCGCTCCTCGGGTAGGAAAAGCCTCAGCCGAAAGGATGTCCCAGTTCAGGGTTCTGATCGACCCCTGAATTGCTGCCATTCTGCTGCTGCCGGGAGGAGAAAAGAACACCATTTGGTCCCATAAACGTCTGTGACACAGGCTGTCTCATTTCACAAGAAGATAGCTCCTGGGAACACCTTGGGCGCGCTTCCGTTCTGAGCGGTGTGTACCAGGATTCAGTGAGATTCAGCCCCCTAGGAACGCTGAGCCAGCCGTGTGTTTCTGGCGGAGTGGCCGGGAGGGCCACGCGGGCTGATGGCCGTCTCGCGCCCGTCTCGCGGGGCCGGATCTGCGCTGAACGGGGCGGAGAGGCCGGCTGGTGGGGGGAGGTGCTTAGCGTGCTGGGGGGAAGCCGTGCAAGCAGTTCTCCCGGCAACAAAGTGAACAGCTTCTTTATGATCCCTAAACGAGCTTCTATCTCAAAGTACAGCCGGGACAACTCATTGCAGCCTAGTAACTACCAGTAAACTGGCAAATAATCTTTCCAGGGGGCGTGTGAGACTCCGGGCGTCTGGCTAAACAGAATCTCGGTCTTCAAAACAGCCTCAAGAAGGCGGTCAAGCAACAGGGCTGTCTTTACCGATTAAGAAACTGAGGCTTCAGGAGTTGGGCATGTTGCTTAATTAAGGTTGGTGAGTGGTGACAGCCAGGAAAAGCCAGCCCAGCCCTTCACATCCATGAAAGGTTAACGCTGTAGATTCCAAACGACAAAGAGTCACTTTGACTCTGCTCATTGACGGAGTTTGGGCAGCATCTTTGCCTCTTGCGGGCTGCTGCCAGGCGCAGTGTAGACGCGTCCCTATGTCCCTTCTTTAAAGGAGGGCCCCTTCCCGTTTCCTTTTTAATATTAGGGGAAAAGAAAAAAAAGGAGCCCTCGATCATTCCTTGTAGTTTATTTTCTTTTACCCTTTACATTGAGAAGCAGAGGGTGGCATTGAACTCCAGGTACACCCTCCAGGCTGTAGAGACGGTTCCAGGTTGTGCAGTGTGGAGCACAGCCCCTCCGTCCTGCCAGTAAACGTCTTCTCAGTGAAACATAATTACTCGGACTCACGCATTCTTAGAAGAAGAAGCCCCTTTAAAAGTAAATGCAGGGGAAAGGAGGTTTATAAACACGGTTCTCCATCTGCGACACTGAGCGCTGCCACGAGGCTGTGACGTGGCTGGCATGGCTCTGCCGTCCCCCCGGACGTCTAGAAGCGGCCACAGTCTCTGGAGCTGGCGGGGTGTGTCGGCGACATCACAGCTCCTCCTCCGTCTCCACCATCTCACGGTGGCTGCTGAGTTCTCCCCCGGAGCTTCGGCTCCCTCCCTGGTGAGGCGGAGCTGACCTTTGTCCTCTCCTCGTGGCCCACTGAAGATGACGTGAGGTTTTGTGTGCACAGGACAGAGCTCCTGGCTGTGGTAAATGTTTAGCAAACAGGAGCTGTAACTTTGAGCAGAAGGTGCCCTGCAGAGAGTACCCGTGGGTATCCCTTTGTCACGTGGATCGGAGACAGAAAGGCAAGTCCGCTGGAAGAGGGACCCCGGCGGGTGCACAGGCTGGACAGAGGTCATGGCCTTCTCCTGGTTTGCTCCTAGACTGTCGCCTTCCTGGGCGAGGTCGCCCGCACGCCCAGCCCAGCGAGGCTCAAAGCCTTCGGCCTCCTCTTGGGGAAATGTTTCCAGAGCCCATGGCACATTCTTTTGAAGATCCTCAAATAGTTCATCCTTTCAGGGGGGCTGGGATTGTTGTAAACAATCAGAATTCATTCGGAATCCAGTGTAGGCATTACATTAAGTTTCTGAGCTAAGTAGTGCAGCTCGTAGCAAAAGTGAGGCATTAGCTTTTAAGAAATGTGATTTGTGAGGATCTTGTTAATCGTCTCTGAAGACAGCTCTCAAGGAAGGGGTCTCAAACCCAAGCGGCCAGGGGCCAAGTGTTCAGCTTTCAAAGGAGACATTCGTTCAGATGTGCTACGTTCTAGCCTGTTTATTGTTTTGAAAATCGTCTCAAAAATATGACTACATCAGGAATATTAGTTCCTGGACTGTTAGTCCACTGGCTTTTCGGAGTTCTGTTTTTAATAAAACACTTGAACAAAAACACAGTGACTAAATGAAATGTACTCTCACTTGGGTCTCGGAACAAAAAAAGACATCGGTGGAAAAACTAATGAAATCCAAATAAAGCCCGGAGTTTAGTTAATGGTAGTGCACAGAGGTTGGTTTCTTGGTTTCGACAAAGAAACGGTGATACAGTTGGGTGTCACCCTTTCATAGGGGAATGGGTCAGGGGCATATGGGAACCCTGCATCACCTCTGTTCCTTCCGCATAAATCCAAAATTATCCCAAAATGAAAAGTTTTTTTTAATTAACTACTAGAAAAAGGAGGGGGGAGGCGCGTAGCGCGCTGTCGTCTATGAGTGTAACTGAAGAGCCCTCTCTCCCCCCCGCCCCCTTTTCTCTTCGCAGCATTGACAAGATCTCTAAAGTCACCTCTCCTGTGCTGGTCATCCACGGGACTGAGGATGAGGTCATCGACTTCTCCCACGGCCTGGCCATGTACGAGCGCTGTCCCCGAGCCGTGGAGCCCCTCTGGGTGGAAGGGGCCGGGCACAATGACATAGAGCTTTACGCACAATACCTAGAAAGACTAAAACAGTTCATATCTCACGAACTTCCTAATTCCTGAAGACGACCTCACTTTACCTCATTTACTGTGAACACAAGGGTCCTCGGGTTTGCACACACTTTTCACGGCGAGACGGCCGCCGGGGCGTGCCCGCCTGCGGGCTGTTGTCGTCATAGCCAGAGGGTTTTCTACTAACTCACACCACCTTTCACACTGAACTGCCGCGTTTTCCCGCCTCGGGACCTGGCGGGGCCTCGGCGCGGGGGCTGGAGGGGGGCGGGTTCTCGCGCTGGGCAAAGGATGCTCGCATCTGTGTCTCGGGCTTACCCGTCACTTAGGGTTCGTTCGTGCAGGCCTCCCCCCCCCCGCCCCCACCCACGTGCTCTGCGTTCGTGGGGTCCGCCCTGGTGAAGCTGTCAGAGAGCAACGGGAAGGCGGGCGCCAACATGTTCCCTTAACTTTTGTGAACAGGCCGACCGCTCCCCGACGCAGATTGTTTGAAGGGTCATTTACTGGAACTGTCCGGAACAGCTTCACCTACTGGAACCACAGAAATATAACTGGAATACTCTAAAACTAAAAGAAACTGGATTTTTTTTTTAAAGTGTAAATTTATTACTAGTGAACAGAATTTTCCTATTTTGACTGTCTGGCCGGTCTCATACGAGAGCCTCGCCGGCTTTCCTCCTGGCAAGCCCACCTGATAGTCTTTTTAAAAAGTCCTGTACATATTTGCAACACATTGTGCATAGATTCTTAATGGGTAGTTGTCCTTTGTCAGGATCCAACAATGAACTACAAATTCCTTGTTTGTAATGTAAATGATTGGATACATTTTGTTAATATGTTTTTATTCCTATGTTTTGCTATTAAAAAAATTTTATAACATTTCCAAGACAAAAAAACAATGACCAGTTTATGCTTTGAAGAATTTATGTAATTAAAGTTTCACTAAACTAATCTTTTTAGTTTAGCAGGTATTTAGGTTTTGACACTGGAGTCGCATCTTATAAGCATCAGAAATATAAGATGCTTACAATTGCTACACTGCTCGTATTGGTTGAGGGTTTGGGTGTGGAGGGGGTATTTTTTGGTTTTACTTTAATTTTTTTTTTTCAAATTTAAAAGCCTTAAATGTGCTGTCAGCCTCAGATTGTTGTGCAGCTGGATTGCGGTCGATTGCCAGCTTGTGTACTGTTGCTTGGACGCGGCTCGGTGGTTGGTCACGGAATAAAGGATGCATGGATCAGACTGTGGGACACTGCCTTTTTCCTTCACTCCCTCAGAGCAAATGGCGACTAGGAAAGCGTTTTGTTTTATTTAAGAGGAAACCCTTGGGGCTTATACACTTCACCACCTTTCTCAGGGTCTAGGCTTTTGTTTAGTAAGAGAACTTCGATGACTTTTGGAAGAAGCCAAAACACAAAAATGCGTGGCAGGAAAGGACAGATGGGACCCAAAGAGGGCAGGCAGTGGATTCTGGGATGTGGACCAACTCTCCCAGTGAAAAAGCACTAACCACTGAGTAACAGGAAAATCTTAGTGCGTGAGCTGCTAAGGAAATAAGGGCTGGGGGCGGGCGGGGGGGGCATCTGCCAAGTAAAGATGAGAACCAAGGGAAGAACTGCATTGAAACCCGTTTTTTTCTTGGAAGGAATTTGTTGAGTCTTGGTTTCCTGTCTGGTGGAGCTTGGAGCACCGTAGACAAAACCTAGAGCTCCTCCCATGGAGGGGAGACCAATTGGAAATGCACCTCTTAGGGGGAAATTATACAGTCATCTCGATAGACACAGAGAACACATTTGATGGAATTCCCATGTCCTGGTCATAATTAAAAACCAAATAAAACTCTTATCAAAGTAGGAATAGGAGGAAACATACAGAGATCTCAAAACAAGCATTGCAGTGACTGGTTAAACAGAGAGAGAATATTCCACTTTTAGATGGAGAATTAGCCCTAGTGCCCACTTCCCTCGCTTCTGCTCAAAATTAGACAACAACCCCTTGCAAGTGCAGTAGGGTCAAAAAATGAAAAAAACGTGTAAGATGGAAAAAAGGGATGATTGTGTTCTAAAACTAGATTATTGTAGTTGCACAACTCACTGAATTTTCCAGAAAATCATTCAAATGTGTACATAAAAAGGGTGGATTTCATGATACGTAGATTAAAAAAAAACAAACCAACCCTGAAACAAATATACTATTGTATTGTTAGCAAAATCAACCGGATCCCCAGTTTGGGGAGCTCTATTCAAAAGGAGACCTAGTTATCAAAAGGTAGTTTTACTTACTTGCAGCAGGTAGGGGAGAGGGGGCAGTCCCATCCACAGCTCTTTCCCCAAAAGGAGGCTTAGCCATTGCTTATACTACGCGCTATTTGGTCAGTTACATGTTGACTTTTTTCTCTGTCGTTGGCTACTTTCATCAGGCTGACTTAGAGCTGGTCTGCAAAATACTGTGCTACATTTGAACATTTAGCAAGAAGAGTATTTGGTAAGAATGGTCCAAACCGTCAGACCCTTGTCCTATGTACTAAGTCCTACGTACTAACAGTATGTCAACTGTACTTGAAAACATTTAAAAAATATTTTAAAAGCATTTTAAATCAATGAAACGATTATTTTCAGGTCATGTTGGTCTGTGCAGAGCACCTGAAAGTATCCTAAACAAATCCAAAAGGCACTGGAGCGAAAAAGGAGAGTCTTGCTTCCGCAGTTTGCAAACCGCGCACAGTGGAGCCAGAATAAAAAGTGCTCGCAGGGGCCGAGGAAAGTCCTCACCCAAGTTCCCAATAAGGTCTATTTCAGGTAAACGAGATGTCCGTATCACACAGTCCTGATTGGTTGTTCCGGAGCAGTTCCCATTGGACCGGGCAGGTGTCAGGTGGAACGCAGGAACTCCTTTAGAACGGTTCCTTCGGACTCGAAAACCAGAACACCCAGCGCCGGAAGTGAGCCTTCCTAGAGCCGGAAGCAGGGGCCTAGCGCGGGAAACCGAGCGTTCAGTCACGTTCTTCCCGGTGTGCAGAGTACGTGAGCAGCTTCTGTCAGCAAATGGCCGCTAGACGCTTATTCTTCCTAAAACTTGGGACCTCGCTTGGCCGCGGGGACGCTATCTCAGCAGGTAAACTCCTCCTCAGAGTTCACGTCAAACGAAGGTCTCTTCTCCGGGTCCACGTGTCGACAGGTTATCAGGTTGAATAACAGCCAGGTTGCAGGACGCAAAATCTGTCTACAAAAGTCAACCTTGTGTCTCCGAAGCCGCCCAAAGTTTTAAAATAGAATAAGGAAGCGAGCCACCATTTACAGTAACATTAAAAATGTGAAGCGCCGGGTCCCGGCCGCTGTGGCTGGGGCGGGGGGGGGGGGGGGTTGGGTTGTCCCACAAACCGGAAGCAGTTTTTTTGCAAGACGTTAAAGACCTAAATCAGGGAGCACCACATACCGTATTTATAAATGAGAAGGCTCATTATTACTTATTTAATAAAACCCCTCAGTCGAGGCGGTTTATTGCTCTCGGAGAGAGAGGGAAACGCCGACCCATTTCCTCCCGAACGCGCCCGGCGGCGGCGGCGGGGGAGCGCACCTGCCCCTTCGGGTGCGCGGGGCGGCGCTCCGACCTGCCGGGCCTCGCGCCCGGGGCTGTTCACTGCGTGTTGGGGGGTGTTCCCCTGCTGCCGGGCTTGTCGGGCGTAGTCCCGTCAAACCTTGAGGAGTCTCGGTCGTTGGTTCTGGAACCCCAGTGCGGGGCAGGGGGTCGCTCCCCCAGGAGGTGCTGCTTGAGCCGGACAGGACCCGCCACCCTGGACAGAGCTGCCCCGCTGCGGGTGACGGCGGTCGCGGCCTGACCGTTCAGGCCCCATCCCGCGCCCTGCCGCCGCCTCCCCTTCCCCCGTCCTCGGGGCGCCGCACCGAAGGCTCGCCTGGTGCTTGCCTGGCCGCGTGGGTTCCAGGGCAGAGGGCCCGCGGCGGCCCGGGCCCCGGAGGCCCGGCCTGGCCTTGTCCCTATGCCTCCGGCGACGGGAAAACACGCGGACCGTGCCGTGTGCCTCTGTCACCGGCTTTAGGTGCGCAGTTCCGTGACATCCAGGGCATTCGCGCTGCTGTGCCGCGCTCGTCAGCGCCATCCACCTCCAGACCTTGCTCATCTTCCCCAACTGAAACCCGGCCCCCGGCAGAGACTCAGCCACCGGCCCGCCATGCGCCTCCTGCCTCTAGGAACTTGACTGTTCTCAGCGCCTGATCCCCGTGGAAGCGGGTGGTCCTCTCCTGACTGATGTCACTGACGTCCTGTCAAGGTGCGTTCGCGTTGTAGCATTTCGTTCCTTTCTAAGGCTGAATAACTTTCTCCTGTGTGGATCTACTGCTGCATTTTGTGTGTTCATCTGTGGGTGGACATTTCGGTCGTTTCTACCTCCGGTTGCCGTCAACGCTGCTGCGACGGACGTGGGTGCACAGGCCCTTGTGGGAGACCCCGATTCCAGTTACGCCCAGAAGTGGGACTGGCGGGCCGTCCACCGCGGCTGTTTTCCGCTGTGGGAGGCAACGCCCCGGCCGATCCCTGATCGTGGGGTCTGTGACCACGCCACCCTGACGACCTCTGTACCTGTGGGCATTTTTCTGGGGAGAAGTTCCACCGTTTCAAAGGAGTCTTAGAAGTATCAGTAATTCTGATCCTTGAAAAAGCAACTCGGTAGTCTCTGCGGGTTCTTCGAAAACCAGCATCGTCAGGGTCTGAGAAACGCACGCGTCGACGTTGGAGGGTCAGGAGCTGGACGCACCCTGCAGGCCCCGGGAGGAGCACTGGGCAGGGCTCTCTGCAGGACGAGCCGGGAGCGAGCCCGGCGGGGGCGGGCGGGCGGGCGGTGGGGCGCGGGGGGGGGCACAGGCCGGACTGGGACCTTGGGCAGAGCTCCTGACTGCTCTTCACTTGTTCTTCATCTGTAACTTGGCAGCAGTCCCTACAGCTCGGTCAGGGGAGGGTCCACTGCCATTCCGCAGGTAGGAATGCTTTGCTAAGGTAATGGGGGCTTGGGCCCACGCATTAAATGGGTGGCCGAGGCCTGCTTCAGAACCAAGCAGAAAACACTTTGTCAACTCTAGGTGAAGACCGGCTGCCCTGTGGGTGCCCTCGCTGTGTTGTTAATCATTCCTTGGCTGCTAAATGATTTTCCATTTGGCTGGTCCTGGCTTGTTCACTCCTGTTCCCGCCGGGCTCTGTCTGGATGTGGGTGGAAGGTCCAGGGGCTTCCAGACACCCAGGTACTGTCTCTTGTCTGAACACCCTCCCCCTCCCCAAGGTCTCCTGCCTCTGGGCGTTCAGGCGTCCCTCGGTTGGGCCTGTGTGGGACCAAATGTCACTCCTGAGCTCACCCAGAACGTTGCAGCGGGACCTTCCATGGGTCTGGATCTCAGGAATGAAAGAGACGCACGTGGGTGGAGAGGAACTTATGCAAAAGGTGCCTTTTAAGAACATTTTAAAAACATTTTTTAAATTTTAAAATTTATCCAGAACAGTGGGTAAAATGTATTTTCATAGTTTGGGGGGGAGGGCGAGGAACACCCATATTCCCAGTATTGACTAAGAAATAGAATATGCCCAGGGCCTTAGAAGCTCTTTTGCTTCCCCATTTTCTTCTAATCACATGCCTTCTCCTCCATACACCACAGAGCAACCCCCGCCTGAAGTTTCTGTTACTCATTCCTTGCTTTCAGGAAGAGTGTGTGTGAGATCTGTTGGTAGACATTTGTTTTGAGGGTGTCTTCCAGATTTTTGCTACGGAAGATACTTCTGTGCTTCTCATAATGTGAGGAATTTCTGGCTGCTGCTTTTACTCTCGGTCACACGTTGGGATTACCTGAGGAGTGTTTTAAAATGCTGGTGCCCAGGTCCCCCTCAGCAATGACAGTTTAACTGGTCTGGGGTGTTGCCTGATGTCTGGACTTTTTAAAGCTCACCAGGGGTTCCTAGTGGGCATCTAAGTACAGGGGTTGACTCATTGGTCCGTGATGGGGCCCCGATTCTGCATTTCCCAGAAGCTCCCAGGGCTGCGTTTGAGTATCGCTGAAATATACGGGGCCGGTCTGGTGCCCCGTCGTGTGGTGCCAGCCCTCCCCCAATGCTGGATGGCAGGTCTCGGCTTCCAGACTTGATGTCCTCTGACTCTGTGAATTTTCGCCTAAACAGTGGATGTGAAATGCTTTGTCCCTGATCACTCATGAGAAGAAGCAGCTTTTC